CCATGTCTTTGTATCTTGATATGTACATTTAGTCAGCTTTATTTCTCTTTTCATATTGAATTTTATTGAGAGTAATAGATGATTTAAATTTGTTATATATACCTGCATGTGTTTTTACGATCCTATACAGCCAAGAAAAATTTCCCTCTGGGATAATAAAACATTGTCTTATCTTCTCTTATCTCCTAGGCGTTGCTCAAGGCGTGGTGACTGGTATCCGCGGTCTGTGCAACGGCCTGGGCCCGGCGCTGTATGGCTTCATCTTCTACCTCTTCCACGTGGATCTGAACGAGGACAAGATGGATAACCCCACGCCTAAAGTCACTGAGAACACCTCGCACCTCTCGCTGCATGACAGTTTTCAGGTAGGATGAATGAGTGAAGGGAGGGAGGGAGGGGGTTAATTTACTTTTGTGTTTATGACAGTTTTCAGGTATGAAGAATGAGTGAAGGGAGGGAGGGGGTTAATTTACTTTTGTGTCTGTGACGGTTTTCAGGTATGATGAAGGAGTGAAGGGAGGAAGGGAGTGGGGTTAATTTACTTTTGTGTCTGTGATAGTTTTCAGGTATGATGAAGAAGTGAAGGGAGGAAGGGAGTGGGGTTAATTTACTTTAGTGTCTGTGATAGTTTTCAGGTATCAAGAATGAGTGAACGGAGAGAGGGAGGCTAATTTACTTTTGTGTCTTACCCAGTTTTCAGGTATCCTTTTGCTGTTTCTGTCTGTACGAACCGTTACTGTATCAATATGCATCTCTTTGACTCTCACAAGTTATGTTCCGTGTCCCCACAGAGCATCGTGCCCGGCCCTCCGTTCGCGTTTGGAGCCGTGCTGGTCATCATGGCCCTGCTAGTGGCCGCCTTCATGCCAGAGAGTCCTCACGTGAGCGTGGCCAAGAAGCAGAAGACGGTCACGTCTGCTCCGTTTGAGCTGAAGGAGGAAGGTGGAGGTGAGAATGTCCCGCAGTGGATCTAACTTGAAACATTCACTTCTGTGACGAATTATTTCTGCTTTATGGTGTGTTTGGTAGATGCTTCTGATAAGGGGTTGTTATGTGTTGTTGTTTATTATTTGACCTGGATAGATAACAAACAATAGAAACAACAACTGAATCGATTATTATTTGACATTGCTAATGAAATGTTAGAAATCCTTCATTCTGTTCCTTTATCTCAATGTTTTTGCCCACCCCTCCACCCCCCACCCCCTCTCTGTCTCTCTCTGTCTCTGTCTGTCCCTGTCTGTCTCTCTCTGTCTCTCTCTGTCTCTCTCTCTGTCTCTCTCTCTCTCTCTCTCTCTCTCTCTCTCTCTCTCTCTCTCTCTCTCTCTCTCTTTTAACCTGAGAAGAAAAGTCTGGTTTTTTAACTTCTGTCTTTTCTCTCCCCCAGGAGGGAAGATCCATGAGATTGAGCCTCTGATATCGGACACCGATGTGGAGTTGTAGCACACAGTTGGCTGAATACACTCACCCTGCTGCTGCTGCTGCTGCTGCTGCTGCTGCTATTGATACCATCGCTGCTGCTGCTGCTGCTCTGTCTCTTGGAAATCAGCGGCTGAAAGACAGGACACTATGAGACGGTTCACATTCTAGAAAGAACATCCTCCAAAATCGAAACAAATTTTTTCAAATGTTGCCACCTGCGCTGAGGAATGGTTTTTTGTTTTTTTTCTGGGGGATTATTTCTAAATAGTAGTTTGGGTTTTTTTAGGACAGTTTTTGCTTCTACATTTTGTGTACAAGATATGTCACTCTGTAAAAGTAGTATCAAACACGCTGTGATATAGATGCCGCCACTGGCATTTTTTGGGGCGTTTTCGTTTTTATTGTTAACAAATAGTCTGTGGCGTTGCCGGAAATTATACGGTTGGACCATATTATGTTGGGAAAAACTTCAGAACAGGCAACTCAAGTAATTAAAGGCCAAAGTTCTACGCATTTTCAGGTGTAAATAGGAAGTAGAGCTAATCTGCGAATGAGATGAAATGTTTAGTGATATAAAAAACCCCAGTATAAATAGATTGAAACAGGGTCTTCAATAGCAGCCGCTGAAATCAACGGCGACACCACAGAATGAAACTTATGGCTAATTCAATGAGCGGCCGACACTAGGAGGGTTAAACAGGCGTGTGAATCGTGTTGTTGTGTACCGTCTTTGACATATCTCCACCCCAAGAAGCAGCAGCGCGAGGACGGCAGCAGGCCGTTTTTAACGACCCGCGGTGAGCAAATTCCCCCACTTCATTCTCAGCCAGAAATGATTTCATCCGCTGACACTGGACAAGGCCAAGTGGCTAACGTTTTTGTGTTCGGGGAAATTGCTGCAGGTGTCGTCTGGATCTTCTGTTTTGTTAAGATTTCTAGTAGAAAGGTGCTCCGAAAGAGATATGTTTTCATCTAAATCTGACTCTTCTGTTGCATGGTTTCTGTAGTTTTAATCTTAACGGGTTTTGTGGAAAAAGTCTTGACCCGTTGGTCATTCACAAGGGTAACGAGGTTTAGTTTTAGAGTATATGTGAGTGTGTGTGTATATTTAGACTTGCCATATATATAAAGACGTTCCTCTGAGTATGTAGAAGTAAACACTACTCACAAGTTTCCTCGTGTGAATTGACCAGTGGGCCCAGACTTGGGCACCACCCTGTATGTATATTCCTAGGGCACTGAGTATCAGTAAGTAATGAATGTCTTTGTCGTGAACTGAGCGACCGTTCCTGCATATTCTCTGTGGTATCGCTATATCTTTCATATCAGATAGACCAAAACATTAGCTGTTTCCATGTGTCGGTTAGCTATAAGTATGACCTGAATGTAGAGCAACACGCACATGGCTTTTTTCATTGTCGTTCAAAGTGTTTTTATGAAAAACTTGAGTAATGTTTGAAGGTTTTTGTGACGAAACGTGTTGCATCTGGAATGTTGAAAATGTAGAATAGGCTGATGAATTGTGTAATGATCTGTGTCTTGCTGAAGGAGAGACTCACTGTAGTACAGATTCTTGGTTTCCATCCTGTTGTCTCACCTGATAGTTTAGAACAGTAAAGATAAAAGATGCTACTTGTGGTTAGAAGCAACAAAAAAAAGCGGAAGTTAGATTATCGGAGTTAATCCGTTTTATCACCAAACCCTTCTTTTAGTCATTTCGTGTTCTGCGTGAAGCTCCTGTTGACAGGATTGTATACGTATAGATCTAGCTGTGTGGTATTATTATGTAGACACTTTCAGTCAATGTTCGAGTGTAAATTTACATGTGTTTGTATGAATGTATTTGAATGTGTGTGTGTGTGTGTGGGTTGGAAGGGGGGGGGGGGGGGGGGCTGGGCTCTGATTTAGAGAAGGACAGTAGGTTCAGGGACTGTCATGATATTTCTCTGTGTAAATGTTGGATGAGCAAATCTGAATATTTAGAGATGAGATCTTGTGGAACTGTTGTGTGCGTGTGATGTGACAAATGATTTTTTTTTTCTTGTCACTACTTTTGTGGCTACTACACTTGTATTTCCTTGAAATTTTTATGACGATGGTTGATGTGTTGAGTACTGAGTGTGACGGTCTGCGTTTGTCCTTGATAGCCGGCACGTGACTGTTTTAGCGTTCGACTCGACTGAAGAGTTCCACTTTGTCGGTCCTCCTGTGATGTTCTTTTACAATATCATACCTTTGATCTCTTCATGACTGTTGCGAGCATCGCCACTTTCTGTTGTGGCACCGACGAGGCTGATCGCAGCCCTGATTGGCCTGATCAATTTAAGAGCGGTTGTTGTCCTCTGTGGCAACAGGAAGTGGTGCCAGCTCGTAATTCATCCAAACTATTAGCAGTCGGCACTGCTCTGGGCCTCTGCAAGAAGATTTTATGACTGTCTAATGTATACTTTGAGGAAGGTTTCTGCTCTATTTTATGTCTATGTGATGTATATTTTGACACGTTTCTGCTCTACTTTACGCCTGTCAAATGTCTACTTTGACAAAAGTTTCTAAACTAATGTATGTCTGTCCAATGTCTACTTTGACAAGTGTCTGCTCTGTGTGGTGTTAGGTCTTTCTTATGTATATTTTGACAGAAGTTTCTGGTTTACTTTATGTCTTTCTATTGTATACTCTGACTGCTCCATCTTGATGGAGTTTAGCATTGTCTGTGTTTGAAGATTTCTGTTGTGGCTGACTGTCTGGGGTTCTTTTCTGTTTTAGTCGTGCACGGCCCGTGATATACGCCCGGAGGTCTTTGTGGTTACGGAGCTAGTCTTAAACTTGAGTCTTTTTTTTTCTTCTTTTTTCCATTTCAGGTTTTGTTCTGAAATCTCTGTGTTTTTGTTTTGTGTGTTATATGAAGTGTGTGTGAGATAACGTTCTTGCTCAACATGTCTTGAAAGTTGAAGGCAAGGCTTACATGTTGCTGGATACAGTTTCTGGACATCCAACAAAGGTGTTTTGATGAGCAGATTTTGACAGCTGGCCCAAATATGTGACCTATTTCATTTTATACAAGACCTACATGGACATTTTTGTTCTCTGAAAGCGTACTTTGAAGTGTAGCCTGATATATTCTAGCCTGTTACAAAGTAGAGGAAACCTGAAACAGAAGTGTGAAGCACCTAGAGCTAGTTTGTTCTTTTTGGAAACCAAATTCCTCGGTGGCATCTTGAGAGAAAAGGGGCTAGGAGTTCCATCAATATCTTCTTCGTTTGGCATGTGGAGACAAGAAGAAAGTTGAGGGGAGGAGTTGAGATAATCGGGAGCTGAGAGCAGGCACTGGCTGACTGGTGGCCTACCTACAGATTTCTTAAAGGCGTGTTGAGTGTCGTCTTGTTTGTGAGTGTGTGTGCTGTGAACAAGCATAGCGTTTTTTTCTCGAAAGATATCCTTGATTAGTGTGCTTTGTGTATGTTTTAAGCTGTGAAGAAAAACTTTACTCTTGGTTTTGTTTTGTTCCACGCTCTGGTACCAGCACTGTTTTTTGTTCAATTTTAAAGGATTTTTTTTTTTTTTTTGCATTTCTTGTTCTCCACTGTGTAAGAAGTGTTTAACAGTTTGAATCTCTTCTTTGACACAAAAAAATGCCCACACTGTTTATGGCAGAGAGAAAAAGTTAAATCTTTGGCTTTTCCAAGATGTGAATTTAGTGGGGCGTTGTTTAAAAAAGATTGTCACTTTCTCTAGTCTATCGGAGATATGTACAGAGATAAGTTAATTTTAAAAAACTCCTGTTTTGGTGATTCCTTTATAATGTGTAAAGGACTCCCTCTTTGAAAGTCTGAAATGATTATAGTGAGTTTTTTAACTCATGTGATGCCCATTAATTTCTTTTCCCACATGTTTCGTTCTATGCACTTGAAACAGATAAGGTTCCCCCTTTGCTAGAGAAAAGGCACGGACAGTTAAAGTGAAATCACATCTGCCTTCTAAGTACAGTAAAACCTTGGAATAACGTTCTCCCTTCTTAGCCGTGGCAAATTTTAGCTAAGAAAAGTAAAAATATTAAATGGGACTTTGGGCTTTAGAAAGTCAGCCTTACGGCTGATAGTGCGTTTTAAGCTGTGTACGTTATACCGGGGTTTTATTGTATAAAAGCCATTTGTGTAAGGTTGTTTGTTATCCAACGTCTTGCAAGACTTCTGGACTACACACTTGATGTGGATTAGGTCTCCTCTGCCATAGATGTGTGGAAGTGAAAGTCGCACTTGCTCTAGATTTATTGTGTATTGTTGTCTTATTGTCCGTGAGCAAACACTTGGAAAGGCTTGGATCTTCTGCTAGAGAAATTGTATGTGCAGTGAGAGTGAAAGTCGCTCACGATGCTTTAGATTTATTGTGTAATATTGTATCGTATAACACTATTATCGTTATGGTATTGTGTATGTGTGCAGCACTGATGTCCATTAGCAGAGAGTCTTGTCATTGAGGGTGCTTGAGAGTGTGGGTGAAGTGTGTCAGGTTTTATCTCAGTGTGTCAGTCATCCACTGGAGATATTGTGTGACAATTTGACCCCC